TAAAGCATCGGTGATTTATGAAAAAAAATCACTTTTAATAGAGCTGCACTTGCTCATTCAATTATTATGCAATTATGGTATTTATCAGAAGAGAATGTTAATAACTAGATCATTTGTTACCAGCAGACATGTTCTATTTTGATGATATACATTCAAGTATTAAAACGTAAAAATAAAGAGTTTAAAAGTATGAGAAAATTTCTTTTCCTTTTCTTTCGTTCAATGATACAAAAATTTAATAAAAAATATCACAGGTCAATATTGTTCAATTTGTTCCGTTTTTTTCTTCTTCTTTTTTTTTGTTTACAACAAAGTGTAGCTCGCTTGAATTGTTATTGTCGAGCGATCGATTATCGGAAAGTTTATTTATCGAAACGTTTCGTCCTTTTCTCTTCAGCAGCGTAGATAATCCATGTGTTAATCGACTTGTCGAGCAAAGGACTATATTAATGCAGGGATCTCGCAGTAAATCGCGAAATGCGATTTAAAATGCAGTTTGAAGTGCAACAATTATTTGCCTTTCGTGGGATTAATCGCGTTACCTCACAGCCACGGCGTATAACAACGTAATAATAATTCAAAACTTCGACTCGAGCAAATGCCTCGAGTTTCACCGAAATCACTGATATAACTGGGATATAACGTTGATACGATCGAGTCTATTACTTGTACTTCAAACGGGCAGACTTTTTCATTACATTAGCATAGAGAAGTTCAATCGTACGCCGAGTTTTCGCCGACAGATTTTTTTTCGCAAAAGAGGCACCGAGTTTCCAAAGGATTTACTCTCTCTCCATCTTGTAGAATGAACGTACCGTAATGTATTTATCGTTTAATTTCCTCTTTATACTGATCACATTAACAGTCATTTTTATATCATCGATTGCTCACGGAAAACACCCGAAGTTTCATTTATCGAGCGATTCTGAGGGATAACGTGCCGCTCAAGTTTTCAAACATCTTCTTAAGATTCGACTCGTGAGCTTAAAATTAGTCGTTTCGAATTTCTGTTTGAAACGTAGATCTCAAGAG